GTTGCGTACTAACTACCTTGTGTAGCACGTTACACTGTGACATCATCTACGTACATTTATTTGATAAATAATCCTTACTAATATTATAAATCGGAAAGTGAGTTTGTTTGTTTGTTTGTTTGTTCCGACTTCACGCCGTAACTACTAAACCAATTGCATTGAATTTTTGCAGACGTAAAGTTAGTAGTCTGGATTAAATAATAGGGTACTTTCCATCCCGAAAAAAATTGATATTCTCGAGGGAAAACAAAAGTATTGATATAGATGGCGCTGTATGTATTGGTATATGTCACATAGGCTTCTTTTTATCTTTTTGTGACGCGAGCGAAGCCGCGGGTAAAAGCTAGTAATAAATATACCTCAAACCAGCTAAAGCTGCGTAACTGGTTACGTTTTGACGAAATTCTCAATATAGATAATTATCATGCTATTTTTGGCTTTCTGGAAGGACCGAGGAACATTGGGAAGGGCAGGACAATGAGTTAAATAACAAACTTCCTTTCGATGTTACTATTTTTATTTCCATCTTAGTGTTACTTAAGACAAATGTGTCCTTAACATAGACACACATACGAGATGCTTGTCAATACATAGGCATATCCACCATATAAATATCTATACAGCATCTATATGTACAATAGTATGTGTGTACGTTTCGAAGCCCTCAGTATTAAGTAGAACGTGTCGGTAGTGGCCGAGCGAGTCAGGGGCAGGCCTCCTACACTAGTACAGCGTCCACTATGTGGACCTCGTACAACAAGCTTACTTACATAATTTACGACATATACTGGCAGTGCAGCTCACTTGTACACATTTCGTACCACAATTCACCGATTTATTTATTTATTAATGACAGATATGTAGCGAGAATTACTTTACAAAAAAGCCGATTATAGCGAATCAAAACTTTCGAAAATAGTTATGTATTTGTAGGATTTTGTTAACGTTAGGATACGGCGTCGAAATGATTTGTTAGTACAGAGTTATTGGTGAACATGGAGATTTTCTAGTAAATATTACAGTACCAGTCGTTAATGTCATTGGAAAACTTCATATTTATAGTATATTAAATAATTATTTGAATAAAGTGAGCAGAGACGTCGAGCGCCGCGGTCGCCCTCGAGACCACACTGTAGGCCTTCAGGCGTTATAATGTAACTTGATCACAGAATGAAAACGTACTAAGTGCTGATCTAACAGTTTTATATTGATTTATAGTAATCTAATAACAAAAATAGGTTATTTGGTAAAAATATTTTTTGTTTCTTCTTAACCGATCGTATTGTGCTATTTTATTAAAAAAGACTTTTGTTGTTCTCGTTACCGAGAATAGTCGACAATAAAACAAACCACCACTATGTGAACTTATAGTACATCGTAATATTTTACATTACCATGAAAATGAGGTCGTAATACAAAGATCCAAACTTCTACTACACTAAGCGATTTACACGATGCTAAGACGACTTTAAAATATAATAAAAAAAATGATTAATATTAAAAATAATAAATTCTAAGTTTACAGTCGAACAAAAATATAAAATGAACTCTATTACAATTAGAGGAGATCTGAACGTTTATAATGTGAGGACTTATGTATGTAACGAGATGTAGCAGTGTGTACGCGACTTTAGTACCAGTACCCTAGCTCAGAACTAAATGCTGCCGTCACGAAATCACATCATAATCGATTCTATAACGGTGTTCTTTGGTACTCGCTGAAGTAAGCAGCCCTCGATTACACAGTCGATTATATCAAATAAATAATCTTCTACGACAACTCAAACTTGTCTTACAGAGCTTAGAATCACAGTGTAATCAGTCAATTTAGTTTCAGAAACACAAAAATTAAAATCATGCTACATTTTCCATAAGCAATCGAGGGCCGCCACGTGATCAAGCGAGTCGTAAATGAAAAAATAAAATGATCGTAATTAATTATTATGCTTTTCAGCTTGAACGTAACTGTTTGAAGTGGAACTAGATTAGTCTTAAGCCATGTTAAAGACTCATATTCATGAGCAGCTTTCCACGCAGTATAATGCTATTATGGATAAGCCGAAAAATATAGTAATTAATTTAGTACATCATACGAAAGTTAGAAGATAAATTATATCGAAAAATAATTTAAAATAAAACAAATTCAATTACTTAATCAATTTAAATTCAAATAAGTCATATTAATTTAGTTATTTTTGCACGGTTTATAGTTATGAACAATCCGTTTGCTAACTAATTAAAAAAAAACTGCTGGTCACGGCCCACGTCATCATGAAGAGTTTTAAAGTAATTTATATTCTTCCTTTGTTGTTTCATAAAAGTTTTTATAGGGACAAAATTAGAAAAAGTGCTAGGAAAATATATTTTTATTGACCGCGTCCGACAGTTTTTTTTAATATTACTACTGAAAAATAAGCATTTTGATGCCTGCTCTGATCACACACGAAACACTGGCACACACATCTTATATCACAAAAAAAATAAGCAAAAATTAGAATGAACTATTTATGTCTTATTCCATGACTTTCATCTAACCAAATAACATATAATTTATAGCCTTTTTTGGCAATATAGATTGATTTCCAATATAAATAAAAGCTAGCCAATTAGTTCATCAAAATGAAAAAAATAATCGTAAATTCGTATCAAATTTTTGATATCTTATATTTTTTATTGCTTTTTAATTTTTTTGTAGTTAAAACCTTAGCTATTAGTAATATATTTATCTTTGATAATGTGTATGAGTCTCTCTCGACTTATGGAAGATATTTCATAAACGCATATAGATTCTATTAATTAAGTCTGTTAAAATGTATGTCTAAGCCGCTGTATATATAATATTAAAAAGTAATATAAGGTATTAGTAAGTAATTAAGGCAAGTACAATCGACAAAGTTGACGGTCGATCATCATTAGGCGATATTCACATGTATTCGACGCGAACGACCACAGGTATAACCGGCGATATTTTTTAAGGGGTAAAATTATCGCATATCTCCTGCCGGGGTGAGGCGAGAGTGTCAGACTCTTAATGACTATAAGCCACCACATTTCTATACCTGCACTTCGAGCCGGAGCCCCAGTAACCTGTTAAGTCCTCCACGGCTCCGTATCGGCATTAGCCCTATTGGGCGCCATCTGTGGTGGTCTGAAGGCTCTTTGAGGCGCGCGCGGAACGCAACGCGCCGTACACTCGGGGGAAAATAATAGGCGATGGATAGCGAGTACGATAGCACGGTTGGTGCGGTGCGCAACGTGTCGCGGGTTCAATTCCCGTACGGAGCAACTATTTGTGTGATTTCACATATTGTTGTTCCGGGTCTGGGTGTCATGGGTATGTGAAATTATATGTTTGTAAACGCACCCACGACACAGGAGAAAATCCTAGTGTCAGGCCACGATTTTTTTTTTAAAAAAGGGACAAAATGTTCGCCCCAAGGTTTCGTTTAAAAAGTGTACTACCGTAAACTTTGCCGATAGTACATTACAACATGCATATATATTTATGAGAGAGAAACAAAATCATTGTGTAGCGAAAAATCAAAGTAATATTATGAGTGCAGCTTAGACATTAAACTATTAAGAATCTACGAGGGAAGAGGTAGGCAATGTACTTACAGTACAATAATAATATATGACCAATATTTTTGTAATCTAAAACACACACCTTAATATTTTAAAACTCAAAATAAGTCTAAAAATATCTTGCTCAGACATTTTGTGTTCCCGAACTATACTTCAATATCCAAACAGAGAAATTACTGTAACGTATCGACGTAATATTGCACCAAATTCTAGTGATTTTTTTATTTCTTCATTGTAATCCATTAGAGATCATAGACAATCAATCTTTAGACATTATGTCATTAGATTTTAACTAATAAGTATTGCTTTTAGTAGTAAATATAGTATTTGTTTATCAAATGACTAAAGATCGGGACTACCTTGAAATTTAGTCTTCAATAGTGGTTATCTGGACATGCGATATGACATCTTTATAGTTCTATTAAATGGATTTCCTTTTATATTATGAGACTGAGTGAGCATAGTGAATTTGTATTTGCGTACATACTTGTACACTATATTAATATCACCTGAACTGTCTAATAGAGAGAGGACCCAATAATCACCACGAAGATTTCTATTAAAGTCCGATACATACGGGCAAAATAAAAAATGAATGAGACGTCGCAAGCATTTTTTAATTTGACATGTAAAACGTACGTGGCGTTCAAAAGGTTAATTGAAAACGAGGTCTTTGGTCCAGTCCATGGTAGTCTGTGATCGACAACTGAGCATAGGTCCGCATCACCAGGAGGAAGACATCAATAAAAGCCGTTAATTTACGAAAATAAACCATTTATATTACTTTGAATTAAATTGTCGTTGAATTAATACAACAATCATTATGGTGGCCTTAGGATTTATAAAATATTACCTATTTATATTAAAAATTGTGACTAATTAAGCTGCAAAAACAATAGCATTGCGTTTAGCGCCATTAAATTTTTATGTTTGATTTCAATTTGTTAATACCTATTTACATCGTCATGAAACATTTTACAATTACATAATTAGCTCAAGTGCCTATCGAGTTGAGTAGTTATTAAGTAGATTACTATTTCAAAAGTCAAAAATCCCTTGTCTTTACGGAAGACCGGCGTCTTAATTACAGATATATTTAGAATCATTACAGGCATGGGTTGTTTAGAGTTAAACATGTTAGGTTTATTATGCTAAAGCTGAACTTGGACCAGCGGGAATATTTCTAGAACCTTCCAACTAATCACTATCCACATCAATTAGGCTAAGTCAGTATAGAAGTAATGAGTTCTCTCAATTAAGTAGAATTTGTCTGATTCGAGGTGAAATGTGATATAATGTGATTTTGTTCGCAGCCTTTAGTCTATAGAGGATAGAAAGAGAAGCGTGACGCGGGAGTGACCGCGGGGTGTGGGCGGCGCGGGGCGGTGTGTGTCCGGTGAGTGTAGTGAGGCAAGTTACTCTGTGTAGTCCCAGCAGTCCTTCTCGTAGCCCTCGTGCACGTGCTCCAGCAACACCTTGCGCCGACTGTCGCAGTATCTGCCGACAATAACCAACATCGTCTAACTCTTCAAAACGTTAAAATACCTCGTCTATACATTCTGGACTACAAAGTCATATTTATCATACCAGAGGGAGTGTCAGACTCTTACTGACTAAAAACCACCCCGTTCCTACTCCTGCACTCGAGCCGGAGCCCCGGCAACCCGTTAAGTCTTCGGCGGCTCATATTTATCATACCAGTAGATGTATTCCAGCAATGCAAAACATAGTGTAAATAGGACATGCGGCGTGTGTTTTTCATTAACCTCTTGTCCGTCGATATGGGACACAATAGAAAACACATTGTGTCTCGCGTATATCTGCGTTCTGACACTTCACGGGATAATCATCTTGCAAGTCAAATAGATAGATCTGTCCTATCGTTTATAAAAATGTATTTAGACAAAGATTAGGACTTATTAGGTATTGCAATCTTCCACCGGCACGTATAAAGAGACAAAGTATCATTATTAAAGGTCACAAACCTATATTTATCCTGGACCTTCTGTTTGATGTCAGCCAGGTTCTCGCTGGTGATGTCACGCTCGAGGTACTCGGAGAGAGTCTCTGTGGCAGACTCCAGGTCGCGCTGGTTGTCCTCGAAGATGACGGACTGGTTGTTCTTGCGCAGGTAGTACGCGAACACGTATGTGTACATCAAGGTCTGTCGGCACTGGCACAGGATGTCTACTGCCTTCTTCAAGAATTGGACCTGGAGAGGATCATTTAAGACATATGTTAATAATGTTGTTTTGAACATGTTTATTAGACTTACTGGCAGCGTTAGCTTTTTAGCACACAAGTAATTAGTACAATTTTACTACTTATTCTCGAAAACCTTAGAACGACACACAGAAACATCAAAAATGTAGTTTCACAGTGTGAATGTGTAATTTAAAACTACCAAACGTTGAGAAATGTCACTATACCACGTAAACCAGATTCAGAGCTGTAAGCGTAAAATCGTAAAAGACAAAAAGTCGAGAATATAGACTTAATTTTCACATCGATAAAAAATCAAGTACATACCTCGATCCAGCTCATGTTATGCTGTTGCATCTCCTCCATCTTCTCCTTGACGGAGGCGTAGAGCTTGGACTCGAAGCGCAGTGACTGCATGTGGTTCATGTAACGGTTGCAGTAGAACAGGTAGCGCTGCAGCGCTGCACGCGACCTCTCTTGGGCATCGCGGGCCGCCTTCGCCTCGTCCTCGTCGTACCTAGTTGTACAATAGTTTAATTCAAGTGTGTTTTTTTTATTATTATATTACATATCTTTTTCTCCACGGACTCTTGTCCGTGCCCTTGTCATTCAATTACATTTTCAATTCAATTCAAGTGTGTTTACCGAAAGGCTGCTAGTTGCAAGTTACGTCAAACTAGTTCTGAATGTCACTGAGGGGTAGCCTATGTTCAGTGGTGGAGTTGCTCGTACTTGTTCGATCTTTTTTCTTTTCTTGAGTTTCTAGCTCGTTCTTCTCCATAAGTATCTACACCTTGGAATGAGCAACTAGCTTCACTTCAAAATTTTTGTTGTTAACGTCCAATAGTGCTTTCCTGGTCTAATTGAAATAAATGATTTTGACTTTGACTTTGGACTTAATGTTTATGTTATTAGCCTTTCTCCTACTGTCTGTCCTTGTCTTGGATGTGTCAATGTCAATTCTAAGTAGGCGTCGTCACAAATGTTTGGAAATTGTGTTACACACCCACAACAATAAGTGTACTAACACAAATACGGAGGAACTAGATGTAATTTTTTTAAGGGGGGAAAGTCATCGAATGACTAGTCCCGCCTGGGTGAGGCAGGAGGGAGTGTCAGACTCTTACTGAATAAAAACCACCCCGTTCCTTCTCCTGCACGTCGAGCCGGAGCCCCGGTTACCCGTTAGGTTCTCCGCGACAACTCGATGTCTTTAAAGGGGGATTGAACCTCTAAAACTACACTACATATCAGAATACAAGTTATATAATTAGAAAATACTGTTTAATACGTTGATATATAGTACCGAAAATCTCCAAAATTTATTCATACAAAAGTAGTCTCTAAACATCGGAAATAAGGTCTATAATAGAGTTCGTGACGAGTGGTGACCGCTTGGGGATTGAACAGTTAATTTTATAAATAAATATTCAACGAACCTGTTACAATTATACCAGCTACTGCCGTGTGGCTCCCAGGGTCCGAGACAGACCCAGCAGAAGTCTGCCTTACAGTTCTGGTTCTTGCAGACCATGTGGTTGCAGCCGCCGTCCTTCTCGATCGTCACGTTGCACTTCGGACACTCCTTTGTGTTTGCTGCGATCCAATTCGACGTTTCTGAATCGTCGTCGCATTTCTGTTACAGAGAAATGAATTTTATGTGGTTGTTATAAATGTTATTTTGTAAAAAACCCCAGTAATCTAACAGGGACCCATCATTGAAACACTAAAATGAACTTAAACCTTGTGATTAGTTCAAACTCACCCAAACATCTAATTACTATATGACAAACTCCTCGTTGGGAAGTCGATTAAAAACTATATTTTGCTCTAAATTATCAAAATCAAGATATTATTTTACTGAACTTTTTGACCGTCGCTGTGTCGGTCTCATATAGTTGTAAATTGGCCTAGTGCGAGTTTATTTTACGTCAACGCGGTCAACGCGTTTATGACGTTAGGCACTCTGATTGGCCTGCTCCAATTGACCCACCAATCAGAGTGCTAAACGCGGTAACATTTCGATCACATAACATAGCATCACGCCTTTTATCCCCGAAGGGGTAGACAGAGGTGTACATTATGCCACTGTACAATGTAACACCCACTTTTCACTATTTATGTTATGAGTCCCATGTAATAGGGGGTGAGACCATGTTACATTTCGATCAAATTAACGCAAAAAAGACTCACACTAGGCCCTAGGCTATCCGATTTTTAATGAATTGACTAATCAAAGGAGCCCAATTAGCAACGATTTTCTTTTAAAATAATGAAAATGATGATAATTGATGAATGATTCAAAGCACAATCTCCAATATGTATATTATTATATTGGAAACCAAATTATACAAAGTTACTATAAGTTAATAGTGGACATTATATGAATTTAGTTACAGTTAAAGTTAGTAAGCTTTGTTATTATGAATTAATGTAATAGATAAGGTGATTAGTGATTATACTAGTTCATAGTTGTATGCCAAATACAGGGTCATGTATGTGATACCTTCACAAGGTCGTTGAAAAAAAGGCGAACACAGTATCTTGAAACAACGCCTGGTGGCACCTAGCTACTATTTTTTTTAACCCTTCGAGCGTCCTTATGAGCCCCCGGTGGATCATAAGAAAAAATACTCCATGCTGCTTTCTCTTTTATAAAATCTATTATTAATGTTTTGTTTTTATTTTGACTGTATTTTTTATTTCTATTGTAATGATCCCTGTTTTCGTGTGCCAATGACCAAATAAATGCATTTTCTTTCTTTATTTATTTTTTTCTCCAAATGTCATGTGTGCACCCGTTGGATCATAAGGAACTCGGACGCTCAACGGGTTAAAGGGGGGAAAATCATCGAATGACTTCTCCGGTCTCCCGCCTGGGTGAGGCGGGAGGGAGTGTCAGACTCTTACTGACTAAAAACCACCCCGCTCTTACTCCTGCACTTCAATCCGGAGCCCCGGTAACCCGTTAGGTTCTCCGCGGCACCTGGTTACTATAGAGTCACACGCAGAACATAAACATATTGACACGATGGACATCTGTCATTTTCTTATGTCTGGTAACGTGGTAACACAGACGCACACATAAAAAAACATTTTATTGCTCCAATCATTTCTAAGTGCCATTATGTTCGCCTTTTTTTCAACGTCCTTGTACCTATAAATATGTTTATGTAAATTGTGAAAAAATGAATAAACTAAGGTGATGAATGTATACATACTTTATCCTTGTTTACCTTAATCCACTTCTTGAGCAGACAGCAGCGTACAGGATCATGCCAGTTCTCTCCACAGGCGAAGCAGAAGGTGTGTCCGCAGCGACACGTGACAGGCGCGGCTTCTACGTACGCCACCTTGATCGCATTACTGCAGTCCGGGGACGGACACCAGCGAAGCAGCCGGTTACACTATACACAGGAATATTTACTTCATAAAAAATATTGGTTTACAGTTAGTTCTTTAACGTCCAGTTTCTATTACCTATCTATCTGTAGATTTGCTTACTAGAGATAGAATTTTGACATGAGCTCCATACAAAATGTGTCAAAATTCTATCTCTAGTAAGCTAATCTACAGATAGATAGGTTATAGAAACTGGACGTAAGACAATCAAATGTAAATAAATGTTTTAGATCAAAGCATAGCTCTTGATAGTACTATAATTTTACCCAATTCGCCAACCATCCTTGAATCCCATAATAGAAAATTGATATTTTTTTTATTCTACATAAAGGAATTTTCTAGCCAAGCCGTATGGTTTAAATGTCAGAACTTAAAAATTAAATGGGATTCTCATCTGAAACTTCCATTGTTAATTTATTATTTTATTTAACTTTATGCAACAAGAGTACATAGGCGGGCTTAATGTCATGGGCATTCTTACTAGCCAACCTTTAAGTGATGCAGTGAGAGCGTGATAGGTGCATTACGTTGAAAACTTAACAGTATCTAATATAGTTACTAAAATAAAAGAATACATGTACCTATATCAATATTATAAACACCAGTGGCGTGCCATTGGAGTGGCCTATGTCCAGCAGTGGACGAATACGGGCTGATGATGATGATGATGAAACATATAATGGTAATGTATGTGAGAATGACAAAGAAGTCTCATTTTCTGACCAGTAAACGACAAAATAAAATGAAGAAGTACCTAAATAGTAATTGGGATGATGACAGGGTATGAAAATTAAAAATCTAATATTAGTCCGTAAGTTAGGTAATGAAAAATATTAGACACGTATTTTTTTATTTTGTCGTATAGTAAAACCATACTTAGATAAAACGAATCAAAGTTTAGGAGTAGGGGCTAATACGTCATTTCTACGTATAAAATGTACATAGAAGTGACGTCACGCGACATTTCAAATCAATATATCGTCGAAAGTATTCGTTTCTGTAAGAAAATAAAAAATACGTGTCTAATGATTTAAAATAATCTACTAGACGGACATTAAAATAAAAATTAGGCATCTACCCTATTTTATGCAATGACAACAATGGATGGCTGATAAATTACGATAATAATAATAAAAACGGCGCGCATTGTGAGGTGGTTTCTGTCTCTGGAGCCCTAACCACCGGTAGCTTGGACCATGCACCAACTACTGGTCGGCTCCTATTTTTATATTTTTAAATATTATTTTTTATTCTGTAGTATTTAAAAATGTAGCTTTAGAGGAATTTTAAATAAATATGTGGAAATAAAAGTTGTATACATACCTCAACAAAGCTATTGGTGATAATGTGTTGGTACTTGAGCTTGACGCGCGGATCCCGCACCAGTCGCATGACGGTCGCGTCGTCCACGAGAATGTCGCACGCGTGTGCCGCGCACGCTATTGTCTGACCCTATCACATCACATTAAGAGCTATAATACAATACTATGATAAAACATACACACATAAGTGATAAAATGATAGACAAAAAGGCATTTTGAATGTACAGTCAGCACAGCTTTCCACTATGCAGGTAATAACATAAAATAACATAACATCACGCCTTTTATCTCCGAATGGGAAGGCAGAGGTGCACATTATGACACTTCATGCCACTGTACAATGTAACACCCACTTTTCACTATTTATGTTATGAGTCCCATGTAATAAAGGGTGAGCCTATTGCCATATACCGGGCATATTTCCAGACTCCGTGCTACTACTGAGAATTTAAAGCAAAAATAATTTCTTTCAATATAATTTGCGCGACCCGGGAATCGAACCCGAGACCCCTTGCCCGGCAGTCGGACTTGCGACCACTCTGCCAACGGGGCAGTATGCAGGTAATAAAGATAAAATAAAGATTAATTCAGTATTACAGTACAGAGACAGTAACCAAAGTACAAGTAACAACAGTGCAGTTGACTGCATGGTTGGCGTGATGGCTCGCAACCAGGTGCCGCGTAACGTGTCGCAGGTTCGATTCCCCCACGGAACAACTATTTGTGTGATCCACAGATTGTTATTTCGGGTCTGGGTGTCATGAGCATGTGAAATTGAATGTTTGTAACGCACACACGACATAGGAGAAAATCTTAGTGTGAGGCAAGGTTTTTTAAAACAAAAAAAGTAAGAGTACCCATCGGTTGCTTGGTTTAACTACACATGATAACATACACATAATCTATATATTATTTTATTTATATATATATATATATATATAATTCTTCTCTGAGTGTGTATGTCACTGAACTTCTTTCAGACGACTAGACCGATTTTGATGAATTTTTTTGTGTGTGTTCAAGGGGATCTGGGAATGGTTTAAATTCACAAATCAGCCCCGCAGATGGCGCTGCAGTCGGTGTCTAGGTTAGTTATCCTAAACGGCTGAACTAATTTGAATGAATTTTTGTTTATACATTCAAGTGGAAATGCAGGACAACGTCTGTCGGGTCAACTAGTATTATTATATAAAAATGAATCCATTTTTGCCTTGGTTCTTGTTGTATTTGTTATTATTAGAAGGAGGTTCTTAAGACAGAAAAAATCCTGAAAATTCTACGGGAACGAATAAAACGGGATTGCGCGTACGAAGTCGCGGGCAGAAGCTAGTTTAGTATCAATCTTTATTCTCTTATCTACATAGTAAATTAGTGTGTTCAACCTAACACCCGCTTTTTAGCAGTTCAGCCATTTTCAGTTATGTATCCCATGTTTGTCATGTCATACATGTGTGTTTGCCACACTCAAGAATCGAACCTAAAGTTTGCGCATCACACTAATAAGGCAGCAAACCGTGGTAAACCAATAAGAGGGTACAATGACGTGACAATAATAATAAATCGTATCAACAACATGATTCACGTCACACAAATCCCAATGTCTTTATCTACGCAGATAAATTAATTAATAGATACCTACTTATTTAAATCAGTAGTCTACAATCTACTACAGAGTACCAAGCACGAATAACTATCGTAACGTAATAGTATCGAGCGCGTTAGGTGCTCTGATTGGTTGGTTTACTGGAGCCGGCCAATCAGAGCGCATTAATATAAGCATTTATTTGGTTATTCATAACAAATAACCTTTATTACTGAATAAATTTTTAAAATGTAAATGTGCCTTGCAAATTTATTCCTAATGTCCATGAGTCATGACCGATTTTCATTCGACGACTTTGCGTGTTAATTTGCATTCGATTAATTATTATGTTATTGACGAGTAGTGACTGTCTGTTACGGTTAATACAATATGCAGTTCAGCTCGTCTTTAAAGAATACACCGAACACTGCCATCTAAACTCAGAATTAAGAGAAATATTTTCTCTCATATTTATAAAATGTATTTTTACTTTTCTATACAATAGAGAAAGGCCATCACTCTGATTAATTTCACTGTCTGATTCTACATTAACAGCCTGGGACAATCCCAACAGGGACAATGTATGGATCTCAGTTATCTGAGTAATAAACTATTATTATTATTCCATGATATTACTATGGGCTATACATTTAGGATCACTGATCACTGTAATCACATTGGATAGGCATACAGTACAAACTTGATATTATTACACTACAAGCGACCCGCCCCAGTTTCGCACGCCTTATAATATAACTAGCGGACCCAACAGACGTTGTCCTGCATATACACTTGAAAGTATAAACAAAAATTCATTCACATTAGTTCAGCCGTTTAGGATAAATGACCTAGATACCCTGCAGCGCCATTTGCCGGGCTGATTTATGAATCTAAACCATACCCAGATCCCCTTGAACACACGCAAAAAATTTCATCAAAATCGGTCCAGTCGTTTGAGAGAAGTTCAGTGACATACACACTCACAGAAGAATTATATATATAAAGATGCACATATAAACCGTCCTTAAGAATCACTTTATCTATTAAAAAAACCGCAGCAAAATCCGTTGTATAGTTTTAAAGATCTAAGCATACATAGGGATAGACAGACGGCAGATAGCGACTTTGTTTTATGCTATGTAGTGATTAACCTATCATATTAATGTAAACAATACTTACTAGGCCCTCCTCCATTATTTTAGTAGTTAAATATTCACACCAACATTGTGTGCAAAATCTGTGGCCACACTCCAGACCTGTCATCAGCTGTAAACATAGATAACAAACATTAAAACATGTTCACTATCAATAACCAAAGTCACACTTGAAAAGTAATAGGTATAATTAAAGGAGCAGGACATCTGTTATTTCTCAAAAAAAGTAGGCTAGAGGAATAAAGTGAATTATGAGTTTTTGTTTGAACTGTAAATATTTTATTTTAATTATTAAAGTATGTATGTATTAGGCACATGACATCAAACGATGAATTTATTTTTGTAAATAGGCTACGAAACAGCACTTGGAAACATTTCATAGATAAGGCATTTCCTACTCTGAGAGGAAACGCCAAAAAAACTCAGAAGTCACAGTCGCTGTTAAAGTCCTGACAATATATCACACTACCTACTTCCGCGCATTTTCACACGCTCTGCTCAGCTCCTATTGGTCGTGATGTTTTATAGCCTATAGCCATCCTCGATAAATGCGCTATCCAACACAAAACGAATTATTCAAATCAGACTTGTAGTTACGGAGATTAGCGCGTTCAAACAAACATACAAAAAAACTAACTCTTCCGCTTTATATAATAGTATAAGATATAAGATTATTAATTATTATATTTTTCGACTTACTCACGTAATTTTTTAATCGACGAGAAACTCGACTAGTACTGTAGCAGCGCGATAGTCGCCGCGTCCCGGGTCGCCAAACGCAGCTCATGAATATGAGCCTCTAGCATAGCTTGAAACTAGTCGAGTTCCTCGTCAAATAAAATTACGTGAATTTACCGATAATAATTATGTAATGTTTCACGAAAGTTATAATACAAATATATCAAATTATGTGTAAGAATCAGAACTTAATGTAAGTTATAAATAAAGTTTTTATGTAAACATTGGAGTCCTGGTGTCCCTGAATGCAAACTTCCAGTCTAATTTAATCCAAGAAAAAGTAAACATATCTTTGTTTTTATATAGTAAACAAATTTAAACAAACATAACATTACGCCTTTTATCCCCGAAGGGGTAGGCAGAGGTGCACATTACGGCACTTAATGCCACTGTACAATGTAATACCCACTTTTCACTATTTATATTAAGATGTAATAGGAGGTAAGCCTATTGTCATATACCGGGCAGAACTCCAGAATTCGTGTTTCTACTGAGTTTTCTTAAAAAACCTAATAATACTTTGCCCGACCCGGGAATCGAACCCGAGACCCCTTGCCCGATAGTCGCAGTTGCGACCACTCGGCCAATGAGGCAGTCCAAATTGGCACAATAATATTAAAACGAATTTAAACAATAATATAAAAACAAGGAAACTTTATGAGGATGAGGAAAATTTTATAAGAATAATATCTAGCATTATCATTGTGATGTGACCTCATTCATATACTATGTGTACCTATAATCAATGTATTTAACCTCATTATACCATTTATGGAAAAACTAACACATTCAAAGGATATTTTGAAGTACATTAGTGAGGCCTTTTTCAGCAGCTATAAAATGCTTTGTCGTTATCATATAATAAAGCATTTGTCTGTACAGTTATTCCAAATCACTGACTTGATTCACAGAGAAACTAAGACTATTAACAAGGTTTTTAACTGATTAAGGGCCGATTTTTTATTATCAGTTAATTCTTAACTGTATAATAAAAAACTTACATTTGACAGTTTTTAATATGGAGGAATTGTTTTGAATTCCTCAGTTAACTCGTCGAGTACCGTATTTATAGACACAATTAAAGAACAATAGGTTGCGGTCACCGGTGACCGCTTGGTGTTTGACAGTTTAAAATCTATCTGGTGTTGGGAACATTAGCTCTAAAAGGTTTTTAAATAATAATTAATTTGAATACAAACAAACTTAATTGGTGTCAATGTACTTTTCTAGACATTTGATAAAGAAAATATTAATCGAAATAATCATTAAAAAATCTGCATATCACTTAAATCACAATAGTTCAGACATGAGTACTGAAGGTGAAAAACCTACTGTTATTCATATCTTATCAGTTTCCTAGGGGCAACAAAAACAAGATAAACTTCAAAACAAACTCACAGATGTTGGAAGAACTGAAAAACATATTTCGCATTCCTCTGTCCCTGATGTTGATATCCGTCTGGGTAACTGTAACAATAACATTATTTATTTTTATATTTGTCAATTTTACGTACACCTTGCGTTACAGATTGTTGATTTACTTAGTAGATAGTCAAAAACTGTACACAAATTTTCTTGTTGTGGTTTTAAAACTATAATAAATTATACACCTGAACCGTAGGAAAGTAGGAATCACATTATCTATTAATAAAAACTTGGTTTATGAGCTCATAATGTTCATAAGACCAATGTTGTCTAATTGGTAATATTCTCATAATGTATGGCTTCTAATAAAATACATGGATACAAAGACAGGACAAGTTAAAACAATAGTTCATAGTACACAAATCTTTAAAATATAAATCCTAAATAGTGGAAAAGCAATCTGTGTATTAAAGGTTAAAAATTAATCTCGTAATTGGATTGAGTCATACCGTAATGAGAGACTACAATGAAATACCTATTGGAAACTGCATACTGATAAGAATGCACTTCCTTATCAGACAGATCTAGATTCGGTTAAAGTGCATACATTGGATTTATGCCAATTTATGTGTTATAAATTTATGATACACAGGGTAAAGGGTAAACAGAAGTATGTTGTGTTGGTCAGGTTTAGAACAAAAATAGTGCCCTGAGTCTATTTCTCAGATTAAATGAAACCTTTTTTTCTGCCTACATCACTATAAAGTATTTCATTTAGATCAATGTGATTGTGAAACAACTAGTAAAGTCTTTCACTGTTAAAACTGATAACTAAACATTACTGGAGAGCTTAGTAATACCAAAATTATAGACTAAATGTCACTAAAACTTGTCAAGTACTTTTAGAATATCCTTTGGTTATTACATTGGTTTTTGTTATTAATAGCTAGTCACATAAATAAATACTTAATACATATTATAATGTTGCTTCAGTTATTTTTCTGGGTCATGTTGATACATCAAAATAAATATACTGTAGGTATATAATTATAATGATTTTGTGGTCTCATCAAAATGTATTGTGAAAAGTTTCCGCTATAACTTACTTTAGAATAATATTATTCAGCAAAAATACCAATAGCATTTCAAAAAGACTAAGAGTTACAGCAAGAATGATGTTAAAGGAAACCGATTTGGATTTCCCCTTGCACAATTTCTTATTGGAAATTATAATTGAGGTTACACTTCATATGCTAATGCAAATAAGTAACTTTTGTGCCAACCTTGCTAACAGGATATTTATTTGAAAAATGTAATTTTAATTTGTAAACAACCTTGTAATGTAAATAAATCTTTTCATACCTTCGGCCTTTGTATGACTGGTTTTCTGAATGGATTAATGACTCTAGCTTCAGAGAACAACTGGTCCTGGTCCCCATCATAGAATCTTTCCATGAGCTTTTCTTTGTCCCATTTAAAATGGTTTAAGAGTATGCGGGTTGTTGTTGCTGGTATCTGAAAATCCAATTGGTTACTTTAGTTTATACTAAAATCATATGAGAGAAAGTCTATTCTATGCTTTTATAGATTTATACAAGCAAAACCATATTTGTTAAAATATTGATTTTAAACAAAATAATACAAGTGTTTTGTATGTTATCAAGATATTTGACAATGGCAATATTGTTATGTACACCTCTTAATGCTCATACATAAATAAACAGAGAATTATTTTAGCATCAGATAATTATCAAAACAGTCATCATTGTTATGACTCATTCCTACTTCAAGCAAACCTTTGTTACATTATTTTCATACATTCTATTTGCAACTATTTCCTTTAGTGATTACTATGAATATGCACTATTGCTTTGTAGATATGGCAACATAAATAACAACTAACAAGGTGAAACGATTGTTATTTCTAATTTATATGAAAATTAGGTTTGTGGAACAAGAGTATTCTACCCAAGCAGTTAGCACTGAACATTGCCAAACTGCAATCACAGCTAGGCTAGTAACGCGGAATGTTTCACCATATCGAACACAAACAATTTGGAATGCGACACAAAAGAACTCGGAGAAGTACAACAGTGTACGAGTAACCTCATTCCATCAGTCCATTGTTTACCACTAACATACTGACCTCGACAACAGTGTTCACTTCTTTGATGCAGTCAACCATATGCTGAACGATTTCCTCCGTGGATAACACCTCATATCGATATTCCTCAAGCTCCGTTTGTCGTTCCCGTGTACTGTGTGTCTCAACGTCCATTGCAAAGTCGACATCGTCTCCGCTAGACTCATTCCCAGAATCCACATCATCCTTTGTGTCATCTTCGGAGTCCATCGCCGAAACTTTGACTAAATATGTATACTAGATAATAAGGGTGCAGCCAGAGTACGTCTAATGATGAAATAATTACACCTAAGATTTAGGAAAGGTCAACAATGAAGAAAATAGTTCACCCGCGGGCTGCCAAAACCTCTGACGTATGGGTAAGCTTGTGTTACCAAGTTTAAAATTTTGTAATCAATTAACAGACGCCATGTTTGTTTTGTTTGATCTTCTTGATGATGCATGCAAGTTCATAATAATACTTTTTAGTCATATCAGTAAAATATGTGATATTTTAGTACTTAAAATACGGTATTAAATAAATAAAAGAAAATACGAAAATAAATATTTTACAATCCTACAATTAGACTACTTAAAAGACCGTGCTCTGAGCTACAGCCTACAAAACATAATTTTCATGACTGATTAGGATTACAATTATTTCAATTATTTCCATATTTTGCAGCTTCCATCGCGTGAACCTACATCTTCATCCATACTTGAGATTTGCATTTACAATGTTTAAATTAAACACTTATTCATTAATATAGGTACCTACATTTATACCTACCTACTTATAGATCAGTTAGATGTTAGAATAATGGGCACATTTTCAATTTCAATTATTTCTGGTGGGTGGATGTTGATAATGGATACTGTTTCTAGTTCCATCACAGATCGGGCAAAACTGTTAAGTCAAAATTCTTAAATAAATGATATTTTTATCAATAAACTAGCTGAGCCCGCGACTTCGTCCGCGTGAAATAGTGATTCACAGCTCCTCCCCATAGTTGATAGCATGATAATGTGTAGTATGTTGACCCAACCTGTTAGTAATATTCATGCAAAATTTGAAATAAATCCGTGCAGCACTTTTTGAGTTTATCCCGGACATACATACAGACAAACAGACAAACATTCTAAAAACCATATTTTTGGTTTCGGTATCGACTGTAGATCACGCCCAAAGCATTCTTAAATATTCGATGTAGTTTCCTACGATTTTATTTTAAGTATAGATTAAAATGGCATTTTAAATAAAAAAGAAATTATTTATTTATTTATACAAAATATTTATTTAGAATAAGGTTTTACCCTCATTAACAATATTTACAAATAAAATACTCAGTACACAAACATATTAATAAGTAGTGATATAACAGAACTGTAACAAATAGAATCTGGTGATTGAATGTTTTACAGTAAAATTTTAACTAATTAATCTTTATCTATAAGAACAAAATATTACAAAATTGCCTTCAGATCTAGGCTAGATAGTTATATTTATTTCTATGATAATAACAATATTGCCTATGCATTTTATCATCATTGTCTTGGTCCATCACATAGATCACATCATTCCAATTCCACTTTCATAACTGATACAAGAAATATTTATTTATTTAATTAAATTATCCAAGTCATTCTGAATAGATTCAAATTGAAGAAAAATTGAATATAACTCAGGATGGGTCAATTCTATTTCAGTGTCTTTTGTATCTCGTAATGACAAATAAGCTTTCGGAACCTTACACTTCTTTCGGTAATCTGAACTCAATTCAGCATTTAACTTCCATGAAAAATTCAAAGATTCACTGTTTTCGTTTGTTTTAGAACCAAGTTCATTAAGAGTTGTTCTTGTCTCTGCTGACCAAACTTTCACCAGTGAATCAGACTTTTCATTATTAAATCCTATACCTTTGAGATCATTTTTCAAGTTGGCAGGCATAAAAATATATTTTAGCATCCTTTTAAATATGTATTGCAAAGTTTTAATGCTCAACACTAAGCTTTCCTGATCAATACCAAATATTTTCTCCAGCTTGGTTCTTTCATCTTCTGTAAATATTTCTGAACTCTGAAGTTTTAACTTTGCAACTATACGACGAAGGAACTGTTCGAAACGCGTTTCGTCTAGCTGATTGATGACTCCAACACCTTTGCTCAAACTATAAAAGAAATAAAAAATGTCATTGTATTTGAAGTTGGATAAAGTGATGACAAAAGTGCACTAACTCACAAATAATTTAGCAATATACCTTGGCGATATCTTTATCCAATTGCATTCCATTGCATCAAACTAAAAATTAAAATAAAATAGCAGAGATGCGATTGTTTATTTTTTTAATAAACAGAAAATAGGCACAAATCCACAACTTTTTGTACAACTTTGTTTTGACTTTTTGATTGGAAATGGAAAAGTCAAATTAGTAAATTTGATTTGACACATTTTCTCTGCTGTGTCAAATGGTGTGGTGTCAAAATAAAAGATTGTTGCTATTGTATAAAATCGTTAATGCCTTGTTGCAATCCAACCTTAAAAAGTAAGTAAGTAATCAAAACTGTTACTTCGTAAGCTATCTGTTACTTCGTAAACTAACTGTTACTCTTTCTTCGTAGCTCCTAGGTCCATTTCAATCAATTTTTTACGTATTTGTATTATTATTTTTTTATTTTTTATGTTTTAGTTAATTTTATGTTATATATTTATCCATAATTACATTATTTAAGTTTGTTATTTGTAAACAAAATTAACTGTCATTCATATTTGTATTCGTATCGTCGGGTGGGTGGGTACCGTATTACCAGTTCTTTTATTCAGATACAGTTGGTATATCCGGTACGTCCCTAGTGTAAAAAAACAAAACTTTGACATTTCATAAAATGTTGGTCTTCTGACGCAAGTGTGGTGTATGATGTCGTGGAATTAAAAAGGTTATAAAATACAATGGCTTTAAAAGTAAATCGAGTACCTGAAAACATTGATTTTCCAAAAGAAGAGGAGAAAATTTTGAGCTTTTGGAAAGACATCGATGCATTTCAAAGTTGTTTGAAACAGTCTAAAAACAAACCAAGGTAAGGTTACAATTTCCGCGAAATTTTATATTTTTTAAAATAAATTGTGTCTGGTAATATTTTAAAACTATGGGGTTTATTTAATACTATTGATGATTTAAGGTATTCTGAAAATCTAATTGTCTCAGCTCAACTAATTCAACAAGTCACTTTCACCGCACCATACGGTCTTATTTCCTGCAGCATGGATAGGAGATATCGCGCCTACTATAACTTTATAGAATAACAATAGTAGTAAGATCAAGACAGACCCTGCTATAGAATGTTTTCTGAAAATTAATAACATAAGTTTTCAATTAAAAATAATTTGGACACCACTATATAGCAACAATAGCTAGTTAACCTGGATCTTCAAAAGCCACTTAACTTTATCTAAAATACTTCATCCTTAGGTAGATCTTAGTTAGCCCAACAATCCCATTTGGCTAGAAAATTTTATAGTAAACATCCCTTTACCTCTATTTTTTACCTGGTACACCCGGGTTATGAATTTATGAACTCCATGATTTTGTTGCCTTTAATGCAACATAGGGCTTCTCTGAAATAGTGGAATTAAAATTCTGTCCTCAATAAGTTCTGTTTACAGTGTTTCAAAATGTTTCATCATCTCTGTGTATTTATAAACATTGAAGTGGCATTGACATGCAAATGCAACATGTTGCAATTCTACTTTGAGTTGAGACCAAACAAAAAATCACATAATATTATAGTTTATAATCAAAAGTTACAGGAGAAATTCTGATAGGACCCATTAAATCTGTGGTGGTCATGGTATACTTACAATTTATAAGTTTGAACACATCATCACAATGAAACTGTAGTGTGTAGACAATACAATCAATGGCAAACCAATGCTTGCACCACCTTTTATTTTCATTGGCATACCTAACAGCCAAAGTTATGAAACTGTGATATACTTACTAGTAAGTCCTTACTAGTAATAATACTTGTAACTAAACTTAATAAAGTGACAAATACAATATAAAATAGCTATTTGTCTAATTTTCTTTTTTTCCCGTTTCCCATTTGATCTTAAGAACACTTGGTAAGCGGAATTTGTAATTTTTTGTTATGTAGGTGGTGCTGGTTGATTGGGGGCTTCTGTGATTTAATGAAAATTAACTAAAACTCGCGGGTTTAATTTTCAGGTATTCTTTTTTTGATGGGCCACCTTTTGCAACTGGACTTCCACATTATGGTCATATCCTTGCAGGAACCATTAAAGATGTCGTCACCAGATATGCGCACCAACAGGTACTTACTTATCTGACTTTAATACTTTGACAGATATCTTCAAGTTAGACAAAGTATAAATTTAATATATTGATATACTAGCTTCTGCCCGCGACTTCGTACGCGTAATCGCATTTTTTCCCGTCCCCGTTCGTGATTTTCAGTAAAAAGTAAAAAAAAGTATTGGTTAAAAAGTATCCTATGTTGGTCTCCTGACTCTAAGCTCCCTACCAATTTTCAGCCAAATCCATTCTGCCGTTCTTGAGTTATAAGTGGTGTAACAAACACGACTTTCTTTTATATATATAGATTGTACCAAAAAACCCTAAAATTTGTTTATACAAAAGTAGTCTCTAAACATCGGAACTAAGGTTTATAATGGAGTCAGTGGAGAGCAGTCACCGGTGACTGCTTGGGGATTTAACAGTTAATATTTGCAACCATAATAAAATTTTTACAGGGATTTCATGTTGAAAGGCGATTTGGTTGGGATTGTCATGGATTACCGGTAGAGTTTGAAATCGACAAAAAATTGGGCATCAAAGGTCCAGAAGATGTCGAGAAAATGGGCATTGATAAGTACAATGCTGAATGTCGTAAAATTGTTATGACATATGCTGAGGATTGGGAAAAAATCATAGGTCGCATGGGTCGCTGGATCGGTGAGTCTTTCCACCACACTCCAATACCCTAAATAATATTATGAATCAGTTTTAGGGACAGTAACTAAATAATATTAATTTTGTCTGTTTCAGATTTCAAGAACGATTATAAAACCCTTTACCCTTGGTATATGGAGTCTATCTGGTGGGTATTCAAAGAGCTGTACAACAAAGGCTTGGTATATCAAGGTGTTAAAGTAATGCCTTACTCAACAGCCTGCTCCACTCCCCTGTCTAACTTTGAGTCTGGACAGAACTATAAGGATGTTGTAGATCCTGCAGTTGTAGTTTCATTCCCTACAGCTGAAGGGTTCTCACTGCTTGCTTGGACCACCACTCCATGGACACTCCCCAGCAACATAACTCTCTGTGTCAACCCAAAATTGATTTATGTTAAAATAAAAGAGAAGAGTACGGGAAATTGTTATGTTCTTCAAGAAAACAGATTCCCCGTTGTTTTCAAAAATGTCGAAGATTTTGATGTTCTTGAGAAGTTTCCTGGAGAGAAGCTTAGAGGAATTAAGTATACACCTATTTTTGATTACTTTGTTGATCAATGCCCTAAGGCCTTCCAAGTGCTGGTTGATTCATATGTTACAGATGACTCTGGTACTGGTATTGTCCATCAAGCGCCATACTTTGGTGAGGATGACTTCAGGGTTTGTTTAGCAGCTGGTATCATTACTAGGGATCAGGAAATTATATGTCCTGTTGATTCTAGTGGCAGGTTCATGGAACCTGTTAAAGATTTCTTAGGCCAGCATGTGAAAGATGCTGACAAAAATATTATTGCTAATCTGAAGGCGCGTAACAGGCTTATCCAAGTAGGACAAATTAAGCATAGTTACCCCTTCTGTTGGCGATCTGAAACTCCTCTCATTTATAAGGCAGTACCTTCTTGGTTTGTTAGAGTCGAACAAATGAATCAGGAACTTTTGAAGTCGTGTGAAGCGACCTATTGGGTGCCGGAATATGTGAAAGAGAAGAGGTTTAGAAATTGGCTGAAAGAAGCTCGTGACTGGGCCATTAGTCGTAATAGGTACTGGGGCACACCGATTCCTTTATGGATTTCGAGCGATAGACAGGAAGTGGTGTGTGTAGGTAGTATTGCTGAGCTAGAAGCTCTGACTGGCAAAGAGGTAAAAGACTTGCACAGGGAAAGCATTGATCATTTGGAGATTCCGTCGTCTCGCCCTGGGCAACCACCGCTTAAGAGGGTATCTGAAGTTTTTGATTGTTGGTTTGAATCTGGTTCTATGCCTTACGCACAATTCCACTACCCATTCGAGAACAAAAAGGAGTTCGAAGACATTTTCCCTGCGAATTTCATTGCCGAGGGCATTGACCAAACGAGAGGCTGGTTTTATACTCTTATTGTCTTATCAACCGCTCTATTTAAAAAACCACCCTTTAAAAATCTGATTGCAAATGGTTTAGTATTAGCTGCCGATGGTCAAAAGATGTCCAAGAGGAAGAAGAACTATCCTGATCCTCTAGACGTAGTTAACAAGTACGGAGCTGATGCTTTGAGGCTTTATCTTGTTAATTCGCCAGTGGTTAAAGCAGAGAATCTAAGATTCAAAGAAGAGGGTGTACGGGATATTATTAAAGACGTGTTTTTGCCTTGGTATAATGCTTTTAGGTTTTTAATGCAAAATGTTGAGAGAATTGTCCAAGAGGACAAAATCGACTACAGGTTTAATGAGAAGGCAGTAAGGGAAAATGTTATGGATAAGTGGATTACGTCATTTACGCAATCGCTAATCCAATTCGTGAAAAAGGAGATGGCTGCGTACAGATTGTACACCGTCGTGCCAAGGCTAACGAAATTTATCGATCACCTTACCAACTGGTACTTGAGAATGAACAGGAAGAGGTTGAAGGGAGAAAATGGAGTCAAGGACTGTCAGGTTGCCTTAGACACGTTGTTCGGTGTCTTATTCGATATGGTGCGAGTGATGGCTCCCTTCACACCTTTTCTAACAGAACTGATGTACAAGACACTGCGTCAACTTTTGCCTGGCAGTTCACTTGAGAGTGTACACTTCAATATGATATCAGAGCCAAAGTTAGACTTAGTGGACGACGATATCGAAAGAGCTGTTCAAAGAATGCAGAGCGTGATTGAATTGGGAAGGGTAGTGAGAGACAGAAAGACAGTACCGATCAAGTATCCTTTGCCGGAAATGATTGTCATTCACCGTGACTCCACTTATTTGGACGATGTCAAATCATTAGAAAAATATGTCCTAGAAGAGTTAAATATCAAGAAACTGTACTTAACCAGTGACAAAGAAAAGTACGGTATTACATTAAGAGCAGAGCCTGACCACAAAATTCTTGGAACAAGATTGAAAGGAGATTTTAAGGCTATCACTCAAGCTTTGAAGGGTCTTAATAACCAGCAGTGTGAGAAACTTATCGCTGATGGGTTCATCGAATTATTGGGGCATCGCATTGATGTTTCGGAAGTGAGAATGATATTCCAGGCACAAGGCAACGACCAATATGAAGCGCACAGCGACAACGATGTGCTGATCCTTCTAAACGTCACTCCCGATCAGGACATGCTTGATGAAGGTTTTGCTAGGGAGATAATAAACAGAGTTCAGAAGTTACGGAAGAAAGCGCACTTAGTGCCAACAGACGACGTGAACATTTACTTCTCTGTCAATAAAACCAGCGATATAGTGCGTATAATAAACTTGCATCGCGACTTCATAGAGACTACAGTGAAAGGGCCTTTGATACCCATTGAACAGATCAAGCCTTCAATGCCTGTAGTTATTGAGGAGACGCAAGAACTCAAGGGTTCTCTGCTAAAACTGGTTATTACTTGGAGAAAGGAAGTGGAACTTCCTGCTAACCCTTGGGCGAATGTCGTGCTACAAGATCTTACTCCTCGGTTTGGGGTTACGAGTAAGCAAGGTAGCATTATTCTTAAGGATAAAACCAATAAGTTTATAAGCTTAGAGAACCTCTACAAAGAGATCCAAGTTCTTTTTGGTCTGTATGGTTTGAAATTTACGTTATGGTGTGATGGGGTGGAGGTAACAGACACAACAAGTCTGAGTTCTAAAACATTGGTAGCCTCTGTAAACAAACCGAAAGATTTCGAGTCTAAAACCAGCCCATTCTGCAAATTTGTCAACATCGCAAATGGAATTAAATCTGCAACTTTGTTCTTAGAAAATCCTGTAGGAAAGTCTACTTTGAATCAGGATGATGCAGTGAAATTCGTGTCAGAATATTTGGGAATTAAAACTGGTGACGTCGACAAGAAATTATTAAAATAATTTGTTTTAAAGACTGTATGCTTAGTCCAACATCGTATACATTGTACCTAATACCTCACTAATAAGACATTCTTGTTAATGCCAACAATTGAAAGTATTTATATTGTAGTGCATGCATACCGTTATATTGTGCCTATGGACTTCATTTATTTAAGTGTGTAGGCCATTTTAATGAGCTTGGTTTGCTATGCATTATTGTTATATTGTCAATGCTTATTGCAATCCCAATTTACTAATTTCAGTCTCCATTTTCCAAGTCAAGAATACTAACTTCAATTACTTTTATTTATTGTATGGTTTGTTTAGAACCATCCCGTCTGCGATGCCTTAGGGCAAAGCATAAGTCTTCAGAGTTTTAGCTGTGCTAACATCCTCATAATCATTTTAATCTATGATGATACAAACTTGTTTTAATATTAATAAATTATTGCTGAACTCTAGTCCTTATTTTATTTACTACTAACACCCCATAGATGTTATGCCAAATTTTATACTGTCTAATATGTATGCTCTTTTCTCTATATAAAAGCTTTAACACATGTTTAAGAGAAATAAATCACTAATTAAGTTGGAAATTGTGCACTAAAGGACACATTAGTAGGTAATAGGTTGCTATTAATTCAATTTCATAAACGTAGAATTTGAAACAGAATTAGAAATAAAACAATAACTATGAGTTAAACTTTATTTTAAATGTTTTTTTCATAAATAAAACAAACTAAGCATTGAACATTGTTCATTCAACTATAATATTGTAACAGGTGCGTGATACAACTCATTTCAATATGTGGTTGTCTAGAAAATAGTGGAAATTTCGTACGTATGCCAGAAGCGAAGCGATACGAAGCAATCCCTGTAAGGTTTGCGCGATTAGTGTTCTACTTTATTCGTGTACACATGATTGCTAATTGATTCAATTGTACAAGTACACTGCTACATGAAGCGTATTGTCATAGATAAATAGGAACAAGCTGTTTATGCGTAGCCCTTCCATTATATACAGATGTTCATAACGTTACATTTACGACAATAATTGACTTGTACATGTCACAGTAAAACGCTTCTCTTGCATACCGATTTATTGTGCGAATTTAAACCATAAAGCCTAAACTTGGTAACTTATATTAACTGGATTTGATATTAAATTTATCAATATGTAATGTAGCCACTAAACAATTATGTTCGATAGATATAACTTTGGTGTTCAGTCATTAACCTAAACAATATTACAAATAGTTAACCAAAGAAAAACAACGAAACCAATGTCTTTTATTTCACTCAGAATAGGGTTCCATTTAAACGAAATTGTTATATTTAGTCAACGGATTTAATAATATGACTAACATCAATATTATGAATTATTTGCTATTACGATTACTGCTAACGGGTTAGTACGATACATGGGACCGTGTTATGTTGCTAGATTTCACTAATTCAACTATAAACAATTTGAAAATATACATAAAATAAAATAAGATTTAAGTTTACAATAGTATCTGTTAGTATATTGGAAATTGTTATAATTTGTTTAGTAAGTATATCACTGAATGTATCACAAGCGCAGTTTAGATATAGAACACATTGCAGGCTATACAGAGTCTAAGATAATTTTGTTATTTCCCTCACTACAAACGTATAATAATACTGTTAAAATAAAGCACAGGAAAGTACACAAAATATATTTGATATTTATAATTTTATTGCTTCGTTTAGAAATGCTTTTATGGAACAAAATATTGCTTTAAAAATAACATGAACATATTATATAATCTCGAATACATCACATAGAATACATAGATATAACAATATAATACTTACTACTAGAACATGAGGTGCCATATACGGGGATTAAGTATAATAATGATATTACATGAAATATGTTCACCGACTGGCAATCGAACGAGCCACGAGATTAAATAGTAATAAACAAGTTACAGTAAGCCAACGACGATTTATACGAGATAGATTGATATATACCTATTCAATAAATTATATGTTATTATGCGTCAACAAGTTATATGCACTCGTATCATAAGCTAAATTGTTTAAAAGAGCTAAACTGTTATCTAGTAAAGGCTTCGACGTCGTCAATAGTCGGATTCATAAGTTAGCATCGAGTTAGTTATTGCACTTTACACTAAAATACAGCACATCATACAATATGCCACACTACCGTACTCCTAGCGCCGCGCACGCTACGCCATGTATAGCGCGCGGCTTAGGCCAGCCACTGCCGCCAGCCACCGCTAGCGAGAGCTAATAAATAAATTATATATTTATCTAGGACATGTTTATTAAGTTAAAAATAGCGAATATTTCACACTAGAAATAACTAAAGATTCATTAACATTTTAAATACATTATAAGATACAACATCGCCTACTCAGTGACTAGTCTAACGGCGTACAATGATCATCATACTCGTAACATTTGAATAGCAACAACGATAAATAGGTACATCACAAGGGCTGTAAGGCTAGACGCGGTGCGCCGGACCACATTATGCTCTCTCCTGCGTCTCGCCATCCTACAACAAGACGGGAGTTAGTTGATGCCTTCTTACAACTACAGTACTACTATACTACTGGTACTGACCGTGTGTCGCAGTCACACAGACTTAATACTGCGGTTGATGAGGCAGCGGCGAGTCTCGCTCGGGTAGCTTTCGCACTTTCATGGTGCCGTCCGCGCCGCACGAGAATAGACGGCCAGCATTGTCTAAATAATATTACAGATATTAGCAACATACTTAAACATTAATATAATAACTAAATAATTGAGAGTTACAGTTACTCTTACCGATATGTATTTGCGTAACACCCTGGCCTATGTGCTTGAAGAAGGAACTCCTAGCATGTTCTCCCGCAAACGTGTATAGCAATTGGTGAGTCGTTAGCGAGAACACCTGCAATATAAACGAGATTTATAGCAATATCAGATAAGTATTTTAAGCTTGTTATTAGGAACATACCTAATGGTCGATATTTTTTATACGACGGTGGCGAAAAAGCAAACAGCCCACTTAATGGTAAGCGGTTATAGTAATTTAACTTAAAGTTATGATAAAATTTGCCGCCCGATTGAGGCACGGCGACTAATTCAACTTTTTCGTTGCCAAAAATAAACTTTGTCCTTGGGAATTGCAAGGAAATGAGCGCACATTTCAACTACATAGTTATAGTCGAAAGTTTTGAATGGTATACAATCTTAATAGGAACTGAGGAAAAAGTGGATGACAACAGCAATAGACCACTAAGAATTGGCGCAAACTGAGGAAGACTTTCACTCATTAGTAAGTTGAAGAAGAAGAATGGTATACCTTGATATCCCCATCCGCAGCTCCGATAGCGTAGTAGTCCTCCCTCGGCGAGAGCGCGACGCACTTGATGGGCGCGTGGTGCGCGTGCAGGCGCTGGCGCACGGCGCGCGCGCGCAGGTCCCACACCAGCACGTCGCCGCGCCGCCCGCACGACACCAGCGCGCCCAGCGACCCCGCCCACGCCACGCACGCCGCGCCGCCCTCGTGGCACGTCCACGCTGCACCAAACACCATTATCTTTACACATCTACATCAATTATTTACTCACCGGCTTATAGATTGCTATTCTAATGCCTATTCTTCGGATGCTGGTTAGAGTTTTAGGACATATCTAGGTCCACAGAATACTAATATACAATACACGATTCTAAAATCTAAGTTTTATTGAATAGATGTGCTACAACACCATTTAGCAATTCAATTTAGCTGCAAACGTTTCCTTACTGTCTTCACGATAGGATGAAAATAATAGGTTATTTATAAATAAACAAACAATATACTCACAAACCACCAAAGCTTTCTTTGTAGGCATCAACGTGTCCCATACAGCAACGTTTTTACTCTCGGAACTGTGCCCAGCTGTAAAATTATGAAACAGTTAGTACAACATAAACACAATAATATTAAATTTTACATTTTCTAGTAACATAGACGGTTATTTTTTATTACCTGTGGCAACTAAACTGCAAGAACCGAGGAAAACGAAATCGCTAATTCCTTTACTGTGACATTGATGAGTCTGTAAATGAAAAACAAATGATATCTCATTGTATTGTTTTCTATTGTATAATGTTAAGTATACGGGGCTGTAGAAATAAAATGTGTTACTATAAGAATTATATTTAGAACTCCTCTCGCCTGCGATACAGGAATGTCCTAGTGCAGGCAAATAACATTGTGAGGACAATTGTACGTATTTACGCTCTGTTTTTGTATTTCGCATTTTTTGAATTATGAATAAAAATTTATTATTATTATTATATTTCCATTTATGAAAACAGTTTTGCTCTAACCTTAAAGTTGGTTGACAGACCAAATTCGGGCCAACAGATTTAAAATATTGATCAAGAGGGGAAAAAATACACAATAAGAAAATATTATAAGTGACAGTATAACTTACAAAGAACGGTCTAGGCGAGGCATGAGGATGTCCAGCTTGATGCGGTGCAGGATGTAGTTGCCACATAGCCAGGTTCCCATCAGCGTCTGATGCTGCGAACTTGTTCCCGTAGTCAGAGAACCGAACTCTTGTGACTTTTGCAAACGCGCCGGGGGCTCGCGGTGACCAGACACAGGACGGGTGTCCCCACTCCCATAGTTGAACGGAGCCGTCCGCTCCACCCGTTAGGTCTAAAGCGAATATTTGTTTTGTTATTTAGTACTTACTTTTACCTTATAACACACAGAATCATAAACAGAAATGACTCAATAATATTTGTTATTGATTTTTGTTTTTCATGGAGTTCATCAAAAAAACACATCCGAGTTTTTCGAAATCAATATAACAGATGTCTTTTAAAATGAGAGTCATTGGACCGATATTATTATGAAAAGTAAATGAATAACGGTGAAATACTCAAACGTCACTCAATTTTAAGTTGATTTAAGTATAGGTAGTCACTACAACTTATTTGTGAAATGACAGAGATAGCACTATATTCAAGTACAACTTAAAATTGGC